AGTGACACCAGTGTGCTGGGCACACTCATTCTGCAACATACTGCTGAAACTGCCCATGATTAAATGCTTAATTTCAACCTTTAAAGTGTATTTCACTACAAAATTTACTATATACCACAGAAATATTTTAATCAACTATACTCAAAGTGATCAGAGACACAAAAGACTGCTTTCATAATCTAATAGTAAAATTATTTCTCTTCCACGTCTGCTATTTTGACAGGAGCCTTAGCAGGCGGCAGGTTGAACCTTTAGTTCTACTCAGTATGCAACGTGACATTGCTTGATATTTAGCTCCACCTATTGGGCACCTACATGTACCTCTTTCAAGTCATTGAGATTAAACAATTTAGTTCTGTTTTAAGGCTCTACTGTACAAGTTTTTCCAGGAGGGAAAAAAAAAAAAAGAAAAGAAAAAAAGACAGAAAAGAAAAGAAAAGCAGATGTAAAATTCTGCTGAGAACTACATTCAGGTTAGGATCTAATTTCTTATTTAAATCATGCAGCATGTAGAGCACTTAATATAAAGGGGGAGAAGGAAGCAACCTAGATATAACAGCATCTTTAAAATGAAAACAAAAAATTGTTCAGTATCTCTTTTTAGAGAATAAAGAAAGATAACCTGTTTTCCAAGTCACTCCCAATAGTTATCCCTCTTAAGCCAAGATCTAGTACACTAAACACTGAGCTTTTAAGATTTATTGTAAAAAAATATTTAAAAATAATTCTGATAGCTTTCTGAAACAAAAGCTGACTTGCAAGCTACAACCTAACTCAAGATCTCTAGTTTTATTGTAAAACTTATTTGGATCTCTTCAAACAACCTGATATGAACTAGCAGTTCACTGAAAGCCATTCTTAATTTCATTTGCACACTAGGTCACAAAATAGAAGCATAAAACTTCTATAAAACTTAAATTTTCAGTTCCCTCAGAAGTAACTCAAACACTGGTAACACCGTAACCAGAAATGGCTACTTTTTACAAGTAGGTTACCCTCTATTCAGCTATTGAACACCGCAGATAGTCTAATTTCCTCATGAAGTGTATTTTATTTACTTTTCCTTACAAGAAACAGACTCTATAAGGAAACAACACTGCGATGGTTTCACCAAAATCTATTTAAGCCCATCAGGTTTTGAAAGATGCATCTTAAACAAAATTTCATAAGAAGTATTACATTCTACTACATTTATAAGAACTATTACATTACTATTACTAAAAAAATTAAATGATTTTAAGAATCAGGGGATGTAAGTTCACAATGTGAGGAAGATGGGAAAACAACGGCATTTTGGCAGACACCATAGGATAAACTTTCAACTGCTTAAATGCACGGACGGAGAAAGCTGGAAGAGGAGCTATAGGAAGAACTACATGCCTAGATCTAGTGACTTCCCTGGGCATCTTAAAAAGCACAACATATTCCCCACAAGGGAAATCCAAACCAAATAATTGTGTTGTCTACCTGAATGGCTCTTAAAGGATAGCTTTTCCTCTTTGGCACTCCCACGGGCTTAGGTGACTGCTCGATATTGGAGTAACTCCACACACACAGTCAGTTCCCATCTTTGGCAGTTCACTCAAGGCATAACCCTAGGTAGCACAAAAAGACTCAAACAGATATTTTCTGCCTCTTTCTCCAGAGCTCTGGAATGCCTCAGTGAGCCCCATTCCACACACTTTCAAAGTGGGAAGGCTCCAGGCATGAAACTGAACAAAATAGACTTGTAAACAATGGAGTATGTGATCAAAACACTGGCTACCTGCAGAACCCCTCAATATCAGAATCAAGGACTAGATGAGAGAAATATATAAAGATCCTATATCGACTAACTTGTTACAGTCACTAGTATAACAAATCGAAAAGCAATTAAAAGATGTTACACTAAAGAACAAAAAGAGATGAGTCAAACTCCTGTAAGGCTCTTTGTACATTTCTTTATCCTTGAAAAAGGATCTCTTCACCGGACTTGAAAGGTGGTAGCAAAGGACAAACAACTTCAAGATTTCCAGATACTAGGGTGATGGTACTAGCAGCCAGTGTTGCACCCATGAGAATCGGACTTCTCCCCAGGCCTACAGAAGTATTGAGGATATCACAATGCATGGTACATGCTGAGAAATAGGGAACTGATTATGGCTCGGCCAGAGTTATGGGTGCATAGCATCAGAGCACAGTACTACATCCTGGGCCAGTAAGAGAAATAAAAGGACAGGCATGGACAGATGACAGTAGCAGACACATAACACAGAGCAAACAGCAAGCCAGATATCGTTTCATTAGGATTAATAAGGGGCATGACACATTGAGCATTTGGTGCATAGAGGAAAAGCTCTTACCAGCACTTAAAAGTTTCATGCAGTGGGATGTGGTTCTGACAAAACCACAAACAGAATGAATGGCATACTTCAGCAGCAAGAAGATACGTGCACACTCAAAATGTATGCAGATTCACACAAATAAAAAATAAAAACCAAAGAAGTAAAGGCCCTGCCTGGTAGATGGAACACAATGGAATCCAATATGTAGGAAAAAGGAGGGGGAAGGAAAAAAAAAGGTAAAGTGGAAGAAAAGAGTTCAAGATGGAACAAAGTTACAAATCAAAAAACCAAATTCATGCTCTAGGAAAAGGACTGAGGCTAACAAATGCAAGCTATAAAAGTCTTCAAAATCACCTGAAACATGAAAGAAAGTGATTATTGACAGGCTCAGAAGCTGGTAGCAAAAGCAGCACCAGCCTGAAGAGTACTGAAAGACTTCCTGCTGCTGCTCCCCCCCATGCTATGCTGCCAGCATACAAGGCTAAGGCCTGTAACGTAGGTCTGAAGCCAGATATTGAGCTATGCCTACCCTTTAGTAAGGGGAAAAGTGATTTCAGAAAGAGACCCGAGAAATGCTTCTGAGCCTCAGAGAACCTCAGTCTGTTGGAAACACATGGAATACCACCCTGAGGAAGGCGTAGGAGCAGAAAGTAGTATTAGGAAGAACAGCAGCTTCGAGGACCGGCTTTTGAGAACCAGGGAGTCCAAAACAGAGCGAGTGACAACACAGCTGCAACAAGTGAAAGAGTGCCACCTCAGGTGCCTCTGTCTCTTCTTCCTCCTGCATATTCCTTACTTAAACTTCTGTTATTTTCTTTTTATGCCTCAGATGGAGTGTGCCACAGGAGAAACCAATTGCCAGTTACTCAAAAAAAAAAAAAAAGATTATAGAAATGCTGTAACGTTAAATATTTAAATATTAGTTATGTAAGTGACAAAAGGTTTGAAATACGATAGTTATTACCTTATCATTTGAAATTTTGCCAGAGAAGATAAATTTAGTCCTGCTAGATCCATCCTGTCATCTGCTCATCAACTGAGTCACCTTTCTGGTCTTGCTTTATCACTATCTCATACAAGGTGCCAAATCTTTGTTACTATCGGTTGCTCTATGTTTGTCTTTCTAAACATCCAGACGTGAATTACTGAAAGTGTTAAGCAGGTATGATTTTCTGTAAAATGTTTCTAAAGTCTGTTGAACTTAATCCAGGATTAGAGCAAAGATGAAAGAGGAAGTGCAAGAGCTAAAAACGAGAGCTAGTGAGTGAATTCCCAAGCTCAGTCTATGTCTACAGTAACAGTCTACTTCCAAATGCATGAAATGATAGTGAGAAGTGGGAGAGGGTTCGGGACATAAAACACAAACAAGCTTTATAGATAGGAATCACAGTTTCAAGTTAAAGAACTTGCCTTCCTCAAGACATCTCTTCTAGTGTGACAAAACAAGACTTGATTAGACAGGTGATTTATGCCAAAGGCAAAATCCACGCTGTAACTGTGAAAAGTGGCATGGAAGAGAGTTGCTGGAGTTCATTCCTCTCCCCACCCTTGACAAGTCTGGACTACACAACAACAGCTAACGCACTTGTCCAGTATTTTAAGTATCAAAGTTATTACACTTGCTGCTCTGAAAAATAACATCCCAATTGCAAACAAACTTTAGTCATATATTTTGGAATCAGCCTTGGTAACAAGGTCCTTAATTTGGCAGCACACACACATAACCAATGATACACACTTTATGTGTATCAACTGGCAACAAGTCTTGCAAAATGGCGAATACCTGTGATCATTTCCAGATGTATGAGGTCATGGATGCTACCCTTACACAGACAGCAAATAATAAAACGGAGGGACCTACACTTCCAGAAAGAAGATAAAGGAGGTTTACTCTTTTTAAGGCATGATAGTTCAATTAAAATTGGTATTTCAATTTGTACCTTTTATTTCATCACTTCAGGACCAAATTACTCCTGTTACTCAACACAAGAATTCCCAGTGGATGGGCCTGATATCACGAGCAGCAGAACTTTGCTATTTCAAGCCACTTCTGTGTATAGGACAATTTCTTACAAATTTTCTTACAAATTCACCAGCCTTAAGTATTGAGAAGAATAACCAGCGTTAATATCAGTAACTCCTTTGTGCCACAAAAGAATTTCTACTCATATTTAAACTCAGAGTGAAACGGTCATAGCATTTCTGCATGGCAATTTTTTCAACCCAAAGACTTACAGTTACTAGGTGAAGCCATCTGAATGCTGCCATAAACATATTTTTCATATTTAAAGAGGCCTAAAAATAGAATTACTAATGTTGTAGAAGACTGGTAAAGATACTAGGAATGCTCAGAGATTATTTTTAAAAAGGTGCTACCATTATTAGGTACCAGGTCAACTTCAGGCACAGAAGAATCAGTTTTTAAATCAGTCTTTTGTACTGTATTTTATCCCCTAGAAGATTCTCGTACTTGAATTGAGATCATGCAGGTCTCTTGGATAGGGGCTGCAAAGTTTTTCTCTCTAGATACATTCATTTGGTTGGTAAATATGTGATGTGGGACACTAATCTTTTTCAAATCAGAAGTGCTTGGATACTTGTAGCTGAAGATTTTAGATCAAAATCTGACCTTTAGTTCCACGCATAAATACCACCATGACATTTATAAGAAGACAACAAAATATTTTAATTTAAATATGCCCCATACTATACAATTGTATAAAATGTCAACTAAGCATCCATTTGAACATTTTAAAAAAACAACCAGAAAGAGCAAGCAATACACTGTAGCAATGCTAATAGAAGGTAGCACAAGCCAAGATGCACAACCAGAAAGACAGGAAAAGTTACTATCTCACAAATCTCTGTTCAAAATTAAGATCAGAAGGGGAATACATTGCAGCCATCCGTGTCTTCCGTGGTTTCTAGTTGCCTGCCTTTATTGGGCAGGTACCAGTGTATCAAAATGGAAAATCACATCAATATTTAACACTTTTCTTTTTAATCAAAGATTAGTACTGCTTTCTCAGGATTGCTAGGAAGCACAAGAGCAGCAAGCTAAGTTGCTAATGCAAAACTAATGCTTAACTAATGCTTTGATTGGTAGTTGTGAATAGATGGGAAAAGGACAGAGCAGAAATTAGTCCAACAATTTTTAATTGAATGAAGTAAAATACTGTAAGTCTAGTAGTAACTTGAGAAACGTACAAGAAAGTCTTGGAACAGTTTAAAGGCAGTTGTGGTAAACATCTGAGATTCCCCCCTCCGACTTTTTTTGTGTATGTGTGCTGATTAAGCAGTAGACATGTCCAGCTGATGGTTACACCTTACTAACACAAAAAAGCTTATGCACCTCCATTTCCATGCAACATGGATTCAGCAATATTGCACTGACTCTTCACCTACAGACATCCTGAGCTACAGCTTAACAAGGAGAGAGTGCCACATGAGTCAGATTCAAGATGCACGCCAAGTATTAGTGTTTGGTATGCCCTGTAGATCAAAACAATGAGAATAAGGCCATTACTGCAGGTATTATTAAGTTAAATATATTCCTGTTCTCTTCAGTCATGAGATATTAGGTCATATTTTGCTTAGCATATTGACCAGCTTTCAGTAACGCTGCATTTAACACTGCACCATAGCTTGGAATAGCTTCATTACACATCTTGCTACACTATGTATTTTTAACAAGTGGTGTGAACCCGGGCATCCAAGTTAATGTTTGTTTCCAACGGCATAGAATGATTTTTTTCTTAAATATTATCTTCATCTACAAAACTCATTTTCAGATCAACTCTGGAAATACTCAACCAGGAGAGAACCAGGCTCTTCACTTCTAAAAACACAATGAGAGGCTTCAAACATCCCCTTTCTAAAAATGTAAGTGGTGTTTTCCCAAAGATATCAAGTACCATCTTTACAAAAAAATACCGTAGTCTATTTCAAAGTGAGGATCTCCATTTTAAAAACAAGTAAGATAACACACTTCTGAGCTGTTTCTTCCTCAAAATTTGTATGTCACAAACACTGACTTTAAACAGTAACATATAAAAAACTCTAAAGCTTTTCCCATGTCTACCGTTACTTAGGTATGCATCATCACTTATCATTAAGCATTTCTAAATACTAGCTTGTTTTGGAAACAATGCTAAGAAAGTATATAGTTATGGACACACAAAGCCATTTAGAAAAAGATACAATGTGCAGCTCATAGAACAGTTCACATCAGGAATGAATGAGGAAAAGGCACTCCATCTCTCTTCACTGTTCTACCTACTGTGTGCAATTTTTCAGTCACTATTAAAACATTTGTTTGCAACATTGTAGATCACATACTGAGCAGAGTTCATCTGTTTCTTTCCATTGCCATTCTTTTCACTGAAAAAGTACATTGCTGTGAATATACAATATTAGCTTTATTTATACATTTAAGAATATTATTTTTTCCAAAGGAGAAAGTCAGTTACTGAACAAATGTTATTGAAAGTATAAATTATTTAAACTTAAATAATTTAAAACCAACTTATTCAAATAACTTTCCTATTGCACATTTTTTCCATAACTTGGCCAGACAAAACCCTATACAAGCATTTAAAAGATTAAAAATTTAAAAGCACAAGTTAAATAGCACCAAAGTAAGGTGCCAAATAAATTGTATGCCTGCTGGAAAAGGAGTGCCAATAAAAACAAATATAAATATATATGTATATACACATCTAGTAATAACTCCGGGATGTTTAGATAATAAATACTTTAAACAAATTCCCAGATTTCCAAAAACGTGAAGTGAGAAATTTTAGAAAATAATGCAAAGTTGTTTTAGAAGAGCAAGAATATACATGCACAAAATCTATCATAAGAAAAAGGTTTATAATTCCCATACCTTAATCTTTAAAACCACCACTATGTACTTCACAAAATGACTAGCCTATATGTTTGAGGATTTATGTGAGACAGAATGAAGAAAGCTTTCCCCAGTTGCTTCCTAATGGAATAGTACCTCCCCAAATAATCCCATATCAGTTTCAGTTTTGTCACTTCTCAAAAATGTCTTTTTCTGACTATCTTCATTCCCAGCAATCTGGGAATACGCTCGTAACATCAACCAACAGGCAACATTAGAAACAAGGAGGAAACTTCCTATATTTTTTCTGAGCAAACCTTACACTGGAATTTCTCCTACTACAACTGCTGCTGTCGCCACCAAATTTGTGACCAGCTATTTCCATAGTAAATGTTTCCCTTGCATATGTCTGCTTGTAATCCTTCAAAAACTAGAGCAGTTCAACTTAAATGGGTAGGAGTATAATCTGGCCTTCTTGTCTGAATAATTTTTGGTTTGGGCTTCTTCGCTTCTTCTTCCATGTCACTTTCTTGGTCACTCTCGCACACGTGGACAACAACACTAGGAGTAGTGTCAGTTGCAGCATGGAGCTCATACTTCTCTCCTAAAAGTTAAAATATTAGCAAAACTGGTTAAAAAGGATCCATTTTATGGAAAAGTATGGAAGAAATGACTAAAAAGGAAAGACTCAGTAAAAATTTGTAAGTAGAACATTAATGACAAAAGCCTGATGCCACAATGCATTAGATGGCACAGGCAGGTGCATTGCTAACACTCATGTCTACATCTGGAACCACTGAGGTGCTTTCTTACATGCAAGTTTATATAAATTATCCTAGGTATTAAAGTAAGAGTTCAGCATGGGCATTCATGAGTCTTCATGGTTGTTTTTTGTTATATTAAACATAGCTGTAGTTTTCAAGCATACAGTCATCACTAGCCATCCACTGAACCATGGAGAAATGATTTTCCTGAATGATGACATAAAACCACAGGACCTTCCTTCTCCCATAAAGCTTTCTATGTTAAGAAAGCTGAATGCAGTTTTTCCCACCTCACACGTAAGTGCTCCAATACTGCTCAGGCACTCCGTGGAGCAACAGGGCTAGACAGCCAGCTTCATGCATATGTAATGTGAAACATTCAGATATAATAGGGCCAGCATGTAGAAATGTTATGATATGCATTTGGTTGACCACTGATTTGAGACCTGCTTTCCCCATGATATAAATGATTGTTTTTAAATCTAACTAGGTTTTAGATAATTTTAATCTTACATTAGACCAGAGAAAGAAAGAGTAGATGACTTTTTTCCAGCACTTCTCTGACCAGCTCTCCTTAATTTTTTTTTCTTCTTCTTACTTCAAGCTCTTTACCTTAATAGAGACTGTTCTCTCCTTTTGTTGAGGCCGCTGTAGTGATCTGGATGTCAGCCATCCTAGATAGCTGATGGCTGCGACAAGCTGCGCTCCCCAGTGCACCAAGGCTCTGAAGTATCCTCTGCTAAGTTTCCCTAAGGCCTTGTTGGGGGAGCTGGCAAGAGCAGCAGGTTCCACAGAGGAAAGGGCCTCCAGGTCTTCAGAAACATGCAAGTTATTGTGCTAGAGTAACCCTGCTTGCAACTAGCTCCATTTACTCCAATTTCTAATAAGCCTAAACATCAATAGGTACAGCTTTGTAGGATTTACTGTCTGCAATACATATGAAAAAAAAACACCATAGGGAAAGGGATCACAGATCTGCCAGTGAGCTTATTGCAGCGTATCTTGATAAGAGAACTTGCAGAGGAGAGAAGAGTAGCTTTTACTGCTTAGTAACCTTTTTAATATTTGCTTTAAAAGATACGAATTTCAGTTTAAATAATTTTGGCTTTGCTAAAACTTAAAAGGAAACCTTGTAGTGAGGTAAGCAGCAACCTCTGGGCAAGTTCTGAACGTCCATAAGATCAGCAAGCCGCAATCCAATTTATTTGTTCCATGTGCTTCAGTAAAAAATTACTTTCATTCTGACAAGTATACTCTTACCGAATTTCTATTTCAAAAACTTATTTCAGGAAAACAAAATCTTTGATAAAGACTTCTAGTATGTCGGTGTTATTCTTGACAGATCGTTTCAAATAACTACATGCAGGCTTGCCTGCTTACTTCACATACGTCTGGATAAACAAATGATTTGCTGTACCATTTTACCCCTTTTCACTTCTAACTGCTACATTTTTGCTGTAAATTGTTCTTGCTGTTAGTTTTTAAGCGATGGAATTCACATACTATTTAAAATATGGCATTTATTTAAAATTGACAGTGACCTCCCCCAGTTCTTATCCCACCATAAGCATAGATTCTTGCCCCTCCACAAACAGCAGGAGGTTGAATCTTCACAGACAAAAAGAAATCCCTAGTGGTATATGGGGTACATAATCATTTCCACTAGCATCTATGGATACCACTAGCATACAATCAACCATCACCTAATACACAGAAAGCCAACGCACAAGGAGCTAGAAGCTCTCTCTCTACTCTCTTCTCCATCCCATACTACTGACATAAGCCTTGCTTCCAAAGCTGGTAGGTAAACAGATATATCAAAATTACAATAACATGATTCAGACTACAATTTATATCCTCTTTGATAATGCTACATGTAGTCATTTCCTCTCTTTCCTAAATGTAATAGAACAGTTGCAGACTGATTCAATCAATTGTAGATTTTGGGAAATAAAATTTGCACCAGCTCTCATTAAGAAGGCAGTTTTAACTGAAATATAAAATGACATCAAGGGATGTGATCCTATTAATCTCTGAAAATCAGAATCATGTTTAAAGTAGCAGTTAGTTCAGTTTAGTGGAATTTTACATCTACTTCTGAAAGTAATACTTGGTTTAAAAAATAGATATCAGCTAGAACTGTTTCTCATCTCTCTGATGCTATATATTTTTTTATAAATAAATGCATAAGCAGCCCTACACAGTAGGGTTAGCTGAAATGACAACTAGCTTATGGGATAGCACTAGAAATAAAGGGGAAGTGCATTTTACAAAGCACTTCCCAAAAACATGGTTCATTGTTAAAAGCTGCTGGGGGGGGTGGGGTGGGGAGGGCAGGAAGGAACCCGTAAATAAACAAAAATGGCAAAGCCATCTCAGAGCTTCTGATAAAAGAATAAACTGCAGCAGATCAAAACACGGAGGAGCTGGGAGTGGCAGAAACTTCTCCCTCTTAATTCCAAAAGAAAATTAATGCCTCAAAGCAGAGGCTGAAACTGGTAGTTTCCCTCCTACTCATGCTACTGTCTCAGATGAGCAAAGAGGTAATTTTAGCTGCAATGCTACACAACTGTTAACTGCTTTATTGTCCTCATCAGAAACAAGACTTTCCCATCCCTGCAAAAGACATGCAACTACACAACTGTGCCTCTTCACTTTTAGGAAGCTGCATTATTGCAGTCTGGGCCCCCCTAAATGCATGTTTCACTTTGAGGCAAGACACAGGGTGAAGGGAAAAAAAAAAAATGTATCAATGAATAAGAAGCCAACTAATACTTTTTCTGAAAATGTAAATATAAATTGATAGATACCATTTAATTTGAAAAATTCTAGAAATTGGAAAAGTTTAGAAGCTATATCAGCAAAATTCTAGCGCTCCTAATCCTTCTTACCTGGCCCTAACTTGGAGATAGCATATAAAAGGTCATAGTTTATGACTGGAGTAGCATCTTCTACTTGCTTCCAACCAACAGGTGGAGAGGCAGGAGGTGAAATCAAAAACTGTTTGTCTGGATTTGGTGGTGCCAAATGTGAGCTTCCAATGTGCAAAGTCTAGGAAAAAAAACACACACACACAACACAAAGCTATTTCATTATGATCAATGAATTCATCATTCATGAGGAATTTTAAGGTTTGCATAGCTGTTATGCTGTAACAAGCACTCAAGGTGGCAGCATGTAACAATATCACTAGAGAGAGCTGTATGAAAGACCCAGTATACAAAATACAGACAAGCCACCACATTCATAACTCTGATGAAACATGCAATGAAGTGTGCATATCTGCATCTTCTCATTATGGAGTTTGACAAAAATTTCACCAGAAAATATCTGCCCTTAAAATACTAACATAGGAGGAAGCTGGATATGGGCTTTAAGGCCTAATGACAAATGGTGTTGAAACTTATTACCACAAGTGAGAGTGGTGAGAATTCTAGAAGGTATATAAATATATTGGCTCCTTCACGACTATCCCTAGGGACATCTGAAACAGATACATACAGATTAATTTTCCCATTAAATTTACAGAGGCAAACACAGAGCAGCCACCAAAAGGCACCCAGATTACCAGAACCCGAAACAGTTTCACACCTTTAGCAGGCAGTAGCTAGCTCTGCAGCTGCATTGATGGCGTTCTCCTAGTAGCAATGCGTGCTAAACAAATGATCTGCAGTACTAAGTGTAAGATCAAGGGCTACAGACTCCTGAACGTTTTAGTTCTACACTTTCGATTCCCTTAGATCCCGTTTGAGTCCTCCCACTGTGTGCGCGTGCGCGCGTGCGTGTGTTTGTCTGTCTGGTTGGCAAAAGACACTTGGCTCTTCCCTCACCCCATCAAACTGTCTTTGACTGTGCTGATTATCATCATCTATTCCCTTTCCTCAAGGATCTCTAAGCAATAAACAGGTAGGCATAAATGCAAAACATGTAACAGCCTCCAAACACTTCTAGCTTTGGAACAACTTGTCATTCTCTAATCAAACTGGAAAATTCACGGTATTCATTAGCAAGACTCAAGACCTGTGGAAGCTTACCACTAAGAGCGTTAAGCTTTATCACCTTGTAGAGAAATCACACAAAGACCCACCTGAGCAAAATACAGTTTTATTTCCTTCCCAAGGAACTCTGTTTTGTGCAACTGGATTCTAGCATCTGCTGCAGATAAAGGGTTACTGAAGTTTATTCGTACTCTTTTGAAGCTCTTAAAATACTGAAACGTGGTATCTCTGTCGTATGCTCTAAAGAGCGATTCAAATTTGGCCTGAAAAGTAAAGACCAAACAAGAAAGTGAACATGCAACATTCCAAAGAAATACAGAAGTGAATCGCAGTTATTACTAGTGGCATACTAATATTTTTTATTATCAGTTTACATGTAATGGCTTGGTTTTGTTTTCTTATTTTCTAATGTATCACTTATTTTCTGTATAGCATCTTTTTTCTTTCTTATTAAATAATATAGTTTATTATCACTGAAAAGTGCTGGACGTGATACTTTGATTTAGTGGCACAAGAAAAATAGCAGTGTTGACAAGATATTGAAGATGAATACTTATTTATAAAATTAATATCCAAAGACCTTAGACAATGGCAGAGTTAGATTTTTTTAAGTGTGCAATTTTCAAGGTAATCAATACTTAATAGAGAAAAATGAAAAAGTGTATTTGCAAGCTAATTGTAATTCTCTTCAGTGAATAAGCACCCATAATAAAGTTCATAATCATCACCTTTTCTAATATCTGCTGCTTTCATTTAGGAAAATGAACCTTAAGAAGGTATCCTATGACTGAATTCTAATTAAACAGCCTCTATTTCTGGAACCAAATTCTAAAAAGGCTCTCATCACCTTCTCTAAAAAGTCTGGAGCACTAACCCTACAGATCCTGAAGGGCCTTTGACACACTTTCTATTTTGATTCTGTGGTAAGAGTAGGAACTGGACCAAAACCTCATATCTTTATAGAATCTGTGGATGAGTTACTTAAGTGTTGCATCGGGGGGAAGGGACTACAGCACACTTACCAGCAGCTGGGGACCCCCATTCAGCATTTAGTATTTGTGCATCCAGAGTGCTCCTAAGGCATTTATGCAAACTAGACGTTTTTTGTTTTTGTTTGTCTGTTTTTTAAATAAAGAATGCTTCTATTCTTACTTCACGGTGCCAGACCACAGGAGGAGAAAGCAGCAAGAAGTTCTGAAGCTGGCACATGCTTGTGAAGTGTTTCAGGCTCACATTAAGAACACAGTAAACAGTCACAAGCCTTACTTCAGCAATAGCGATAGATTACGCATTGTTTGCATTTTGGGTGTTTTCTCTTCATAAAAGTTTACAAAGAGTTAAGCACGAGGCTGAAATAAAGAAACGCATAAAACTGCACTGCCTCTTCCCCCCCCCCCTTTTTTTTTTCCAATTACATTTTGAATTAGTAGAAAAAGCAAAGATCTGAATGCAGTAATTACTTCGAAATTTCATTTGCCTTTCTGAAGAGCTCTGTCTCACCTACTTGCTAGGTACATAACCACTATATTTCGAAAAGATTTTAAAATCAGAGTTGTCCTGCTTCTTAAGTCACATTTAAGCTTCTTCAAAATGAGATCTGAGACAAGAACAGAACCCTCAGCACAACAAGTCCTTGTTTGTTAGCTTCCTGTACTGGAAAGTGAGCTGGATGCAACCATGAAAACTAAGCCTACATTTCCAAGATGTTAGTCACATGCTATGTGGAAAAAGGGGGAAGGAAGGAGAGGCTGAATTGTATTTCAGTGTTCATGTTCTACTTTGAATTCAGAGATTGTCTGCAAGACTTGTGCAGTATGTGTAATTTTTTGAAGCATGTGTGAATTACATAGGTCACTGGTTTGCAATACGACATTAAACAAAATTATATGTTATTTTGCCCTTTAAGTACTTAGTAGTCAACAACTCACGGTATCAGTACTGGATTACTTACATTATGATAATTCTAATCAGTTAAGTACAAATCAGAGAAGAACTATTACTGTTTTTGCATGAAACTATTAACCTTTAAAGTGCCAGACCCCAAAAGCCTGAAAAAGTGTAGAGTGTACTGTAAGTTACCTGAATCTTACTACCAAAGTCCGAATCAAAACATCGCTGCAAACACGTACGAAAGTGAAGAATATACTATACTGGCAACAAAGAATGTTTGCAGGCGAATTTCTGATCTTTTTCAAATACACGGAGCTCAAGATCTTGCCATTTCCAGAGTAAGATTCATTCAGAGCAGAGCATACCATTGCAGACTTGCGAGACCCAAGACCCTTACGTCAAACTGAAAGCTTCTTACAGGTCAAAAAGCGAGAAAGCTATACCGTACTTCAAACCGTTTCACAACAGCCTATGCACAGTCATTCACTCGAACAAAAACACAAGAACCAAAGCATACCCTTGTTTCTGCTTGATTGAAGACATCACTGTCAGCCACACAGGCAATCAGAGAACTAAAACTGTAGTTAAAATTTCTAAAATGCATGCTGTGCTTCTCTGAAGGAATACTTGCACCTCGGCAGAAACCAATTACTTTTAAGGAAGCTGCCGGTGCTGCAGAGAGAGTTTATAAAGGAATCAAGTCCAGCCCCTCCGGGGCGGGGGGGAAGAGTTTCAGAGCATCCTGTGTGTGACAGCGAATTCCTGACCCAAGTCCTGCATGCTTGGAGGCAGGCAGGAACAAAGTGTAAGCTCTGGCTGGCAAGAGGTGACGTCAGCACATTAGTCAGCTTCCCTATGCTAATTACCCGTGCTGGGGAGGATGGAAAAAACAGCTGAGGTTTGCACGGCAGCTGCTTTATCAAGCCCTCTCACAGCATAGTTTCCACTGGTAGTAATTCCATTCAGCGCTCAGACAACATGCTCTTCGCTGGAATGGGACGACCCATCTTAAGATGGAAAATGTTACTTGCTAAAGGACCAAAGTCTACAGTAATAAGCTGTAATTAGCCAAGAGGAAAATTGTAAGGCTTTGGAATGGAAAACAAGTCCCCGAGGTCAACAGCTTTTGTTAACTTTTTGGAAAAATACAAAAGGACTGAAGTATAGAGATTAGGAGGAACTGATTCTGGAAAATACTTTTTCCTTTGCTAGGAAAATTCATTTTCAAGCTTTCTTCACTTCAGCTTTATGGATCAACTCCCATTCCCACTTTATTAGAAGCTCAGTCTGAGCCCTGTAAACTGACTTTTTTATTTTTTTTTTTTTTGGCAGGGAGGCTTCAGCAGTAATCTGCTAGCAAGGTTTTAAGATACAACCTGAATTACCCGCTGCAGTGGTGAGGGATAAAAATCTACCTTTACGACATTTTTTGATTTATGGATTTGTATTATGGTTTGAGAACATTTCCCTTAAAGCAGCACAGGGGACAGTATTTTTTTTTAAATAACAATTAAGAAAAAATCATTACCAGTTTAGAGTAACTTGTTAAGCTTATGCTGAAGCTTTTACAAGCTATTTGAAACTGTGCTATGCAGCTTTAGATCAAAATGTATAACGAAGTCAAAATTGTACATGCATTTAGCTAATTTTACTACAAAATGGGGCTACAGCATCACAGAATCACCAAGTTTTACGAAATACAAACAAAAAAGCCATAAATGAAAAATCTTATTTCATAAACATTTAACCAACTATAACTATTCACATGAACAGCCCTTTTCATTTCCATGGGCTCTACTTACTCACTTGTAGTTAAAGATGTTTACTGTGCCACAGGTCAAAAATCACTATTTATTAGTCAAATTCTCAGCTAATGCAGTGGAAAAAACTACTCTGGCCTACTTCCTAGCACTTTTCCTTAGAAGCCAATCCTTAAAAATATACTCATCTCAGAAAAAGAGAAGGGCCCCTGAAGGAAGTTAATGACTGGTATAGATGCTGTCAGTGAGACTAAACCCAAACTCTGAAATAAAGTGACAGAAAACAGGCCTCCAGTGCTCCCGGAGCATCTAATAAACCAGGTGCCCGCAGCACAGAGAGAGAGGCGGAAAGAACAGTCCCTTTACTCTTCCTAAGTTCACAGGATTGTGGGACGTAGTGGCTCTCCTGCCACTCAACACTTCAAGATTTGTCTAGGCACACACGCAGTGGGAACAGGTTTGAGTTCTAAGCTCAGCTCCCTGCATCCAGGAATAGAGATACAGGATACATAAACAGCAATTATGCTGAGCAGTAAACCACCTGAGCTAACATAGAAAATCATGCAGAGTATGCTTTGGATCCTGTCCTTGCCCTGAAATTACGCTGTCAGGTGTCTTAAAGACTTCGGAAGTGGAAGCACCAAGCATGACTCTATAGAACAGTGGTCAGGATGCTCGTCTGGAAAACATGGCCATGAATCACTTGGGCATAAATGGAAACTGAAGACAGGTTTTCCACCTCCTAGGTGAACGCTATAGCTCCCGATAAGAAAGTAAAGGTCCTCCCTTCAGCTGCTACTGAGTCAGAGTCACTTGGCATACTCGGAGGCTACCTAGGTGACTGGGTCTCTGCAGGTGACCAGTGGAAAGACTATTTCATCTGCAGAACCCCACAGGGCCTATACAAGGCAGCTTTCAAGCTAGTCAATAGAGTGAAGCCTTGGGCAACCCAGCTGCAGACCTTTACACAGCTGAGCTCGTCAGAACTTCCTAGCAGTCTGACGACTGTAAAGGTCTTCAATACCCTGATTTTGGGCTTCAGAGCTTAAAGTAGAACAAGCAGACTCTAGGTACTAATAACGCTTTGTAACTCTACACTTATTGAGATCCAAATCCCATGAAGAATAAGGCATTAAAAATACTTCTGATTGCTGTCTTCTAGGCCATCTAATCCTGAGGCTAAGGCCCAAGGAAAACTAGTTTACAAGTCTTACTGTTGCCATCTTTTAAATTTAACCTTGTAATCTAAAACAGGACTATATAGCTTGCTGTATTACTGGATTAGCTGTAAACAAACCAACCATTTCTGAGGTTTAACATCTCTCACAATAGATTTCTCATACTGTATTCTCTGAATTTAAAAGATATCAAGTTTTCCATAGATATGCACCTAGCATTTTGACTTTTTTTTTTCTATTAGTTTAGAAAAATAAAGGGAAAAAACAGTCCTGGTCTGCTCTGTGTTACCATTATCATTATTTTTTGATAAGGTTATGTCACTAGTCACTCTTACAGAAACAACTTGGGTTAAAAAAAAAAAAAAAAAAAAAGATTGCAAAGTGAAGCTCCATTTCCAACACAAAATAAAGAGAAATGGTATCCTGAAAAAAGATCACCGTGAAATGAAATCTAATATGCTTACTAGCAAGCTTGACAAGAACAAAAATGCAGCCTTCAACATCTCAGTTGCAGGATTAAATAAGCTACCTTTAATTGTTAAAAACAAACAAAAGGAAGACTTGTTTCTCTCTCTCATCCTCTCCCCCCCCCCAAAAAAAAAGTTCATTGCTAGAGCTCCTGTTTCACTTAATGAAATGCTAATTAACGCAGCAGCCCAACATTGAGAACCCTGAAATCTGTTTTAGAAGCCAACAGTCAAAGTTACAAAACACATTACAAAATCCTGACACAGTGTTGCAACATTTCTCCTGTAGTGTTCACATCCTATGACATTTATCAGCCACATGCTAATGAACCATCTGGAAAGAACTGCAAGACTATCAGAATTTCAGGACCTGTAATTCTGATACTATCAGAATCCTGTCTTTCTTCTTCCTTACTCTTCAGAGAGGTTATTGCTGCTGTCTTCTCTTTTAGACTCCCTACTGACCCCATGACTATAATACAGAAAACCAGAGTAAGAAGGGCAAGCTGATCACCTGCCTAAAAATATGTCCTGTCATGCAGGTGCCTGAGAACAAACAACATAAACCTCACCAGTGCAACAGGATCCTGGTCAATGAGAATCACAAATGCCAAACGTATAAGAACAGTTTGAAATGATAACTTGGACAGCCTGCTTTCTCAGTGTTTTCCTTTCGAATTCAGGGGTACAGCTTCTGGAGATCAAGTTTTGCAAGTTGAGTTTTGTCTCTAAAGACTGCAGACAAGAGGCTCACTGAAGACCTAAAATACTCCATAACATCAACTGCTTCTGGTACATGCTCCACTGGTAGCAGTTCCCAGGCAAAGATTAACAGAGACAATTTTGGGGTTGCTTTCTTGGGGGGGGGGGAAGGGAAACAAGGTTTCACAAATAGGCCCATGGAACAGCGGGAATATAACATCAAAGACCATAAATAGCCCTATAATTTAATCTCCACATGCAGTAAAATAAGTGAGGGAGGGAGGTAAGAGGAGGAAATGAGACCACATAAGATAAAAGTAGAAAAAAGTCGTAGATTAAGCAAGTCACAAAAATGACTATTCCTTGTGGATATCTATGTTAGCAAAATTAAGGATCCAAGGAAGAAAACTAACATAGCACGGAAAGAAATGCATTGTCAATTCCATAAGTGAACAAAACAATCACCTTAACAACCCATAAATCAGAACAGCATGGTCCATTCCTTTCTTTCATCACTGGCAGACCTTTACAAACACCCTTGCAGGGTGCTCTTTATGCAGTCCCTGTACTCCTACTGTATTTGCTTGATGATATTTTGTCATCAGCATACAGTTTCCATTTCTGTCTTTGTGCTAATTATCTTACCTCAACTCTTAGGACACAGGTAAATGTCTTGAAGTGATCTAGAAAGGATAATCTTACTTACTGGTTTCATCTTCCTAGTAGCTGGGAAAGGAGAGGGAGGAGAAGACAATTAGTTATGAACTCAACTTCCAGACCTATCTATGCATGTCTCGGATCACTTACTTAAACTCCGTGCACACTGCATGCATCTGAATTTAAGTGACCTTCTAACCTCCATGTCAATGCAGGAACAGGAATGTTACATATCTGTATGTGACAGAAGCTCTGAGGGAGAGAAGGTAAAAAAGCAATGGATGTTCCTTTCTATAACTTAATACTAGGTAAGAGCTTGGCATTCTGGAAAATGCATTCTGGAAAAAATCCCCAGAACTTAGATCTACTGGAGAAGTAAGAAAATTTAACATGTGCAGGGGTAATGAACACTTGCCCCTGACAGTGAATTTTTCCTCAACTGCCTTTGAGGGTGCTCTGAAAATGGGCACTGCAGTCAGGAAATGGCAGCATTCTACATCTTTGGAAAACCTTCCTGCCCTTAAGACTCAAAAGGTGGGTTGTTTTTTGTGGAGTCTGGGGTTTTTAAATTATTATTTTGTCTACTTAACGAGCAAAAGAAGTCATACCATCGTCAGTTGGCTCACCCAAAAATCACTTGCCTTAAAATGTTTGTATGGAGCTCTTAGCCTCATTCTACTCCTCTAAAATAAATAAATAAATAAGAGAGGAAAGTGGCAGAGAGCGTTTTTCAATGTCTAATACCGAAAGGGAATCTGGACATGACTTCCTTGCGCAAGTCTGACAGGATTTGTTGTGAAGTAAAAAACACCTGGCAAACCAGTCATGCGTGAATATATTTTTCTCCTCAAAATCTTTACGTTACACTGAACATTGGGAGACTGAGATGACC